TCTCTCTCTCTCTCTCTCTCTCTCTCTCTCTCTCTCTTTCTCTTAGCAAAGCTTAATAATACGATTTCATTTTCATTTCGTATATATAATTTGTATATCTTATATAAAAATTAAGTTTTATCTGACGGAGATTTTACTACGAATATAATTACGTAAATGTAAATCTTTCAATTCGTACTGATCCAATAATAAAAATAATAAAAAAAAGTAAATGAATTACAATCAACGACTACCATAGCTAATAAAAATAAAAATTCTAAAAATGATTCAAAATTGAAGAAATTGTATTATTGTTATGATACGAAAAATATCTGTTTTACTCTTTGTTGAATTTAAATCTTACATTCTGATGTAACTTCTTTGAAGCACATTAGTGTATAGATTTACATGTTACATGCAAATATTTCAATGAATATAAAGTACATTTAATAGAGATGAACTTTCGGGAATATTATTACTGTCAAGTACATAATATGAAAGTGGAATGCAAAATTGAGATGAGACACATACGAACAAATTGTTAAAACTGTCAAATACGAATTATATAAACCTGGAAATAAATTGAATAAAGGGCAGCGAATAAATACTTTGAAATATAATATAAGATTGATAGCATACGTGAATTACTTAGAACGTGTAATTTTTGTTAGTGTTATTGAAAGAAATGTTTAAAAAAAATGCATCCAACATTCCGGTGAATTTGCAAGATTTATTTAATAAAGTGAATAAAATGTTTCAAAGTATTCGTTCGGAAATATTCAATTATATATTGCTCTTTTCTCTAAATTTATAACTCATCTATTTACAACACCGGCATCTACATAACATCAACAAAGAATTCACAAGGATTTCCCATCGCAATGCGAAATGACTGTCTACTACCAGATAAGTCTTGCTGATTCTGTTGATTTCCTGAACCAGTTCCTGTCTGCACAGATTGTTCAGAACCACTGGAACGACTGCGACTACCGTTAGATCTCTTTCCATTTGAACCATTCCCATTGCCAGAATTCTTACTTGGCATAGTTGGCACTGATGGAATATGCAATTCAGATTCAGATGCTGAAGAACAGGACTTCAAATCATGTATAGGTTCTTTGCAAATGTGTTCACTACCTGCGCTACTACCGCCTGGTAAAATATATTACTTTGAAATACATAATACTGTATATATATGTATATATATTACGCTAATATAACTACGATATCCTCACCTGAACCACTATGAACACTTTCTTCTCGATGATAACCATATACAGTTGGTTCGTTAGTGAAATTAAATGGCATTGGACTGTAACCAGTTGCAGAATGAGGTGCATATGTTCCTGAATAAGGCATATCCCAGGCATTCGGCGGAGGTAATGGTCCAACTGTATCGCAATCTAGTTTCATACTACTCATAGCTGAACACAAGTCACCAAATATGTAATAACATTGTTCAGAAAATGTTATCTTGTTCACTGTATGCCTAATAAAGCCAGCCTTTAGCATAAGAGATGCGTATTTTCTTGCATCACGTCGATCAATAAATCCCTCTACGTGATTATTAAGCCAATCCACAACATCTGCTCCAATAAATGCACTTGGTATTATTATTTTAAGCCACATACGATCACGGATTTCCAACCCTGAGTCAGGTCGAGCCATTGCTCGTACTACTGTCGGCATATCGGTATTCACCGTAAGATGAAGTTCTTCCAATGGTCCTAATCAAAGTGTATGTCTTTTTAAATGAAGTATTTCCTTCTTCGAGTCGACCTAAATATAAAATTCATTTAACGCTTTTTCATTTAACTCACGTTCCGTATCTGGCAGTGTGCTTGCAAGACTGCTCGATGTTGAAGTTAATGTTGTGGCGCTTGGCGGGCGCGGAGGAAAACCTTCACCTCTTATAGCAGCTGTATGTGCTACCCAAGCGCCAGGATCTATAGGCCGTACAGGCTCTGTACGCGGTATTGTGAAATAACCTTTTGGATTTGGATCCCAGCATTTTGCAACAACTAATTTGATTGGTCTAAAAATTACATTTATAGTTGCGTTATATAAATTTGTAATTCGTTTATTAAGATTTTAATGCACTGCTCTACTTTAAACATACCCTGGCTTTTGAACTACTTCACGCAATACCTTAACTGCCTCATCATTAGACATATTTTCAAAATTAATGTCATTTACTTGAAGAATCATGTCGCCAGGTTCTATTCGGCCATCCAAAGCAACTGCTCCCCTGTACAAATTTAAAATTGTAACTACTAAGTAAAGAAAAACTACTGTTACAAATGTACTAACTTTATTTTGTTGAACACTCTGTTCTAACAATTCATTGTACAGAGATACATGTGCTATGTAATCAAAAATTCATTCAAATTGGACACATACCCTTTCATTATTGAACCAACATAGATTCCACCATCTCCACCTTTGTTACTTTGACCAACAATACTAATCCCAAGGAAATTAACAGTATCCATATTCAATGAAACTGTTATGATGTTCAAAGACATTGTACTGTCTGTGATACTGCTAAAGGATGATGTTCTAGACATAGGTGGCAATCTATGGCGCCTTCTTCTCTGTGGTCTACGCCGCTCTAACATTCAAATACATCAAATTTACTTTTCCTAGGCCTAAATCTTAGATTTATCTCATTTTCTTACTTGTAAGATAAAGTAATATTTACCTAAAGTTGCTCTGTCAACTGTACTACTCATATTGGTATGTCTGCCAGTTGTTGATGTTATACGACTACTAGCATCATCATCTGACTCTAAAAATGTTGTTGTTTCTAAATCTGAACTTAAAATAGAAGCAGTCTCATAACCATGGCCAGATCTATGTTTTGAATGACCATTTATACGAAGTCCTGAATTGAGAAACAAATTAATGATAATATACGAGTCTTTACTGTTTCTACAAAGGCATTACTGAAAAATGTCAGAAACTAGAAATAAATTCTCACACAATTAATAACCTACCATTGTATTTATTGTATTTCTCATATTTATCTGAATGATGTCTTGAACTTTTGTGCAAATGATGCCCTTGTCGACTACTTGTAATACTTTCAGTTTCAGTTAGAGTGTCATCATGTGACAATGGGGGTGGGCCACGATTTGTGTGGCCAGGTGTCACATGATCAACACGATCATGTTTTGCCTCACTGTGTGCTACTGAATCTGTGCACTGAGATGCACCATCTGACACATTGCTGCCTTCGGCAGATACCAGCTATCAATAAATTGATTTTCTCATTAGAAACTTTATATTCCATTAAACATTGAGACAGATAACTGAAAAACTTCTTCTTACTACAATCTATAAATATTTATCTACTTTTTATAGTGTATTAAATTAAAGTACACATGCTTTCAGAATAAAATTTTTTTCATACTCTGTGAATATAGAAGTAACTACACAAAACATACGTCAATAATCTTTTAACTATTAACAATTCTAGAAATTAATATTTACAGCTAAAGTATGTATTTCAACATACGTTATAAAGATGAATTATTTTTTTTTGCTCAAAATAATAGATCTTTGTTCATTATAAATCTTAAGAAAGATTGAAGTATAAACTTTACTAATTATAGAATTCATATGATAATCTTACCCATGAAACAACACGTCCATTAAAACAGGGAAGGTGGGCATCATCATCTACAATTTCTTCTTTCACCACACTATTGAGGAAACAAGATATTTCAATACGTCGATTATTTATTTTATATAAAAAAGGAACAAAGCTATAGAATTATAAACAGTCGTAAAAATTTATAAAAAGCTAACTATCATAAATATTATAAATGAGATAAAATAAAAATAGTAATGTAACAAATACTAAACGATAAATTGCAAAATATAATAACAATATAAAAATGTATACATAATTATTTACATACACATTTCGATTAAACTTCGGCGGCACTACTCTTTTTTAAACTTCTTTTGCGCAACATTTATTACATAATGATAATTGACAAATATAAACGATTTCGAATGTTGGAATTTGGTTCAAATTGATTTAAAAATTATACATTATTATAGTTTAATAACAAAGATTGATAATCAGATAAATTTTATTATTTGTAGAAATAAATAAATCTTTGCCAAATTTCGTTTTGTCAACCTTACAAATAATTGAAAAGTACGAATTAATTTGCAGCCGGAGAAATATATAATCCAGCCAATACTATCTGCACTTTTCTATTTTCTCCAATAAATTAGATACCCAAACAACAATTTGAGAATCGAATTTTGAAATACTAGAACGATCCATGTCCAATGTACGAGACACTATCCAGTCACGCATTGACAACATAGCACGCATAAGCCGAAGAAAAGTCTCATTGTTAGGTCAAATCGAATTAACCACAAAGTATTTCAAAATTACCAAAACTTAACAATGTACGACTCGATAAATAGATTCCAGCAACGTGCAGCTTAACAAATGAATTCTAACACTCAGAACCGTTATACTTCGATTCCCTATTTATCGAGCATCGTCGGAATACGCGAGTTTAGAAAAAAGAAAAAAAAGAAAAAGAAAGAAACGTTGCTGTTCAGAAAACGAACTTTAGTCTGAACTCTTCTGAATTGAGAAAAAAAAAAAAAATTAAAAAAAAAAGAAGAAAAAAGAGTACGACTCGGCTATCAAAGTTAAATATAAAGGAAAACTAACGCTGTCGAAGTGTAACTCTATCTTCGAAGCGGATACTGTTTAAATCGTAGGGCATTGACTCGAGTCGAAGATGAAAGGTAATGTCTCGCCAATCTCTGTGACAATCGTCGATCTCGTGCTACGATGTGAATGAAAGCATAACATTCGACGGACATGCGTGCCGCTGATACTTACCCAAAATCATCGTCCATTGATTTGAAGAAATACTTGTAATTCGGCCGATTCAAGACATTTTTGAAGTCAGCCAGAGTGACCCTTTCCGGTGAGATGGTGAGCTTCACCAGGTAAGGGGTCTCCTCGTCGTCGATGTGATATATGATCTTAGTCTCTTCCATCGTCGTGGCTTAATTACTCTACGTGCATTTGCAACGAAACTGATTCACACCTAAAACCCACCGATGTTAACAATTCTCTTAAAACCAATATGGCGCGTCACAGTTCGAGCCAAAGCCCTCGCGCGAACGACGATCGTTCGTTCATGAAGACTACAGATTTACGTGAACTCCACGGTGCGTAACATTATCACGACTGTGTGCAGCAAGTTACGAGGAATCCATTGACGTTATTCACGAGGCTCGCGCGACGCGTATCCGTTGCTTCCGACGTGCTGCATTAAACGTCAACATTCTTGTCGACATTACACACACTCACGGCGGTCGGCTCGTCACTCGACAGTACGCTCGAAGATTGGAAACGAACGAAGATAGAAAGACAATCTCCACTCATTTTTACACCCTTTCGTTTACTTGCTGGCTTGATCGCTAGATGGCGTTGCTGCACCATCGTCGAAGATGGCGAAGAAATTTGAAATCCATTGTATTTACGTAGCGAGTTCTACTTTCGAAATTATCGTATCTGAATATTTTCATTGCACGCTATGCATGTAAATTTTTTTACACATGAAAAAATTTGCCTGCTTTTTTCGAAAAAAATTTCTGTAACGAAAAAAGCACGCGACTTCTTACTAATATTTTCTTTTTATAAGAATTCAATTCTCGCAGGTTCGAACTCGGGCGTTTGTATAATTTCTGTTCTAATAAAAATTTAAACCATTATTATTGTTTATTTAATGAACGTAGTATCTCTCATTGCAGAAGTACTTTTTGTATTGCATTTTCTTGATTAAATAAGTTAAAGTAAAGGATTTTGCACCGTACGATTACATAACTATTTTAGCCCTGTATAAACTTTCCGCGTGCTATAATTGGAAATTAGCTAATGCATCCAGACATATATATATTCTAACAGCTTCGTTAATTCTTGAATGCTTGGGCGATTCTATCGATCTTGAAGACTGTACAAAAAAGAACGATTATTCCATTTCATTGTACGAGTATAACACTCGACCCTTGATCTTATTCAAGTTAACAATGTTCGCATTCGATATTCGCGGGTCTTTTTAATTGCTGGGTAATTTCCACGCACGTTCACACCGCGTCATTATACGTAATCGTATTCATTATTTTTTTTTGCCGGAAAACAACAAAACGAAGATACAGCGCGACAGGC